AGCCCGAGTGCTGCTTTCTCTGGGAACATTTGGTGTTGCTTCTGGCAATGCGAAGTTATTGGGTCCACGACATGAGAAGCTCTGCTCCTTCTCGACCCGTCAGATCTCAAATGGATATTCTTTCGGCGTCTGTCTTTTGATTTGTGAGGCCGTGTTTCGTTTTCCTGTAGAGCCTTTGAATTTTTTGATGTCCAGATTAATGATGAGGGAGATCACTTCTGCGTGGGCTTTTCTCCTACTACCACTACTCATCTTTCATGCATCATCCGAACCAGAAAGCTCCACTGCTCGAATGGAGAAGGCAGAGCAACAAGCCCTGTATTTGGTGATCCAAGACTTGGTCGGCAACTGGTGGAATGGCACAGCACTTTATCCAGACCCTTGCGGCTGGACTCCGATTCAGGTTCATCTTTCTACACTAGAGATAAAACCAGTTCATATTTGAATTGCACACATCAATTCATCGCTTTGGGTTTCTTCATTCCTAATCATCAGAACGAGGCTGACTCGAAATCTTGTTTAAGACAGGAGTAGATTTAATTAGGTTTCTGTGACAACGACAGATCCAGCACTCCTTGTTTTCTTGTTTTGTCTTTCTGTATCTCATATATATATATAATGCAGGAAATTGTTACTTAAAACATTTCTTTTGCTGGACAACCCATAAAATTGATCAGGTTTGAGATTTTAATTAGTTTGATAGTAAGAAAGAATTAACCATCTCCACTCAAAGATGTTGGTGTTTTTTCTTTGATGCTTCTATCTCTCTTCAACCACAAGCTCATACTGTGGAGCAGAAACAATCCTTGAGAAGAACATCGGATAAGATGCTCCAAGGAATCTTGGACTATTACTTTCATGTCATAGATTATGTAGAAATCTTACTTGATTCAGATAACGAGACGGATGAGCATACCCAGTATCCAGTTAAGTTTGTGAGCATAACTTCTGTTGTTTAGACAGCTGAAGAGTATTGATTGATGCCTTATGCATTACTGAGTTCTAAAATTGACTGATGCAGGTCAGATTTTTTTTCTTCTTAGATTTATCAGAATGATTTTTCTAAAGATTGATCTTTTTTGGACTTGATTCATTCCTATCTGTCAAATTCTTGAGTGCAGGGAGTATCATGCGATCTTTTTGATGGTTTATGGTACGTCACAGCACTAAGTATCGGACCCGTCCTCGAGAATTCCCTCCAATGCGCGGAGGAAGCGAAGCTGAGTCCACTGCTTTTCCAGCTCGAGCATCTCAGAAGCCTCTCCTTGTTCAACTGTTTCTCCTCTCATCGACCCACTGCCGTTCCATCAAGCAGCAAGTGGGAGAAGCTAGCTGGAAGCTTGCAAACCCTGGAGTTCCGCTCGAATCGAGGCCTCGTCGGAGAAATCCCAGCCAACCTTGGCCACCTCAGTAACCTACAGTCCCTTGTGCTGGTCGACAACTCTTTGGCTGGAGAGCTACCAGTGGAGCTTGGCAACTTAGTCCACCTGAAGCGGCTCATGCTCTCCGGGAATAAGTTCTCCGGCCAATTCCCAGCTTCTCTTTGCCACAACCTGACCGAGCTTTTGATCCTCGACCTCAGCAGCAACTCCCTGTCCGGTTCCCTTCCTCCCTCTCTCTGCAGTCTCAGTTCACTCTTAAAGCTTGATCTCAGCAACAACCAGTTCCATGGAAGCCTTCCACCAGAGCTCGCAAGTCTCACCCACCTCACTCTGCTGGACCTCAGGAGCAACAACTTCTCCGGTGCTTGGTTTAGATCTCTTGCTGGCATGGCGTCGCTTCAGGATTTGCTTCTGTCCTACAACCCATGGGGTGGGAGTCTCGTGGAGCTGGAGTGGGAGGCGCTGAGGAATCTCACGACGTTGGACCTCTCACATATGGGCTTAACGGGGACGATTCCCGAAGCAATTGCGAGCTTGAAGAGATTGAGATACCTGGCGCTGGATAACAACCACCTCTCCGGCAGCGTCTCCTCTGGATTTGCAGCTTTGCCTTCTCTTACTGCTCTCTATCTCAGCGGCAACAACCTGACAGGGAAACTCGAGTTCTCCCAAGAGTTCTATCAGAGGATGGGGAAGAGGTTTGCTTGTTGGAACAACCCAAACCTCTGTTACGACGCTGCTGTGTCCATGGCCACGGGAGACGTCCTTTATGGTGTGGCGCAGTGCAAGCAAGATAAGGAGGCGGCTTCATCTAACTACGAGGCCGATCCCTTCGCAAGGGTAGACAGGAGGAATCCAGATCACAGTTCTGGTTTGGTGGCCTCCTTTTGGTTTCCTGCTGCTTCGACCGGTGGATTTTGGTGGGGAATTGCTGTTGAGGAGGTAGTCAGCATGGTTCTTTTCGCCATGATCTTGTAAGATGGATTCCCAAACCTGCATAAATAGTTCGATACAACATCTTCTCTTTCTGTTCTGTGACTGCTTAATGTATTTTGGTAGAATGTTAGGTTATAGTTGGCAAACTATTACCGAAATGTATGGACGCTCAGCTCACCGAGCACTAGTCGGATGGCAGTTACCCAAAATAAAATTTCCGGCCTCGAATGGTTCTTATACGTACTCACATGCTGTGTGTGGATTCCATATCTGGATGTTTATGTGCATGCGCCAAAAGGGCCCAAGGCCAAACCCAAAAAAAGCATGACGTTGGGACCCGTCCGATCCAATAAAGTGTAAGTACGAACACTCGAACGTGGTCGCACCGCGCACCAGTCGGACGGTGAGGTGAAGTGTACCCAAAAAAAATCTTGTTGGTCTTAATTCGTCAAGTTTGCTGCAGATTCTATGTCTGCGTGGAGGCTTCGTGGTAAGCTGACTGCCCGCTTTTAGGGTAACCCTTCGAAGGAGAATGACCACTCATTGATGGGGTTACAACTGTTAGATTGGGCCAAGTCTTGCCAGCATAATCTACTGGATTGAAGAATTCTAGGGTCCAATCCGAACCTAAACCATAAAGCATTGGTACAAACACTCACGGTGAAGCTATTGCGAACATATAGGATGACAAACAAGGCTTGAAAAATTTTTTGGGTCTAAAATAGTTCGAATTTGCTACTCTTATACTCACTTCAACGAGCAAGATGGAGATGAGTGCTAGCTTCCTAATTGTCAATGTCTTGCCCTAAAGCTTACATGTCTGCTTAAAGTTCACCCATGGAATGATAAAAAGTACCCTAAAAAAAAGGTAAAGTGAAATGGGGACTAAATCTATTCAACTTTCCATCTTCTTATTCTTAACTTTTAAGTCGGTAATAATAAAAAGCTTAGACCATCAAAGTTATATTTTATATTTAGTATTTATTTATATAATCTTTTTTTATTACGAAGAAAAGAGATAAGTGAATTCCTATCAAAAACCTCTCTTTTTGGACTGTTGTTCATAGGTATCCCTTTTTCATATTTTGTAAACATATTTTTTTATTTATCATAATATCTAAAATGACACTTGACAAAACAGTTGGAGTAGTACCTATTCATTCTTTGGATCGTCCATAGGGTGAATCGATCTAATCCCTCACATATGATATTTATATTATCAATCATGGTATTTTTGGAACCTCCATCGAAACATTGTAAATCTCTTCAAAAATATTATAACTAGTGTAAATTGACTCAAAACCTAATAGAAATTAACTCATCTAAAAAAATAGGGTTTCAAATAGTATCCTTACATTTCAAATAGGTTTGGAATAATACTAACTAAATATGGAGACTTATATTTTAATTATAATATTTTTTAATAGACGTCGATATTTTTGATAAAATATTATAAATCTATTCCAAAATACTATAATAACGAATTGTACCGATTCATCATATGGATCAACACCAACTCCAGTTATCTTTAAGAAATTATAATTAATAAAGGATAACTTTGAAAAATATGTGAAAAAGAAAGAGAGAAACCTAAAAAAAAAATGTCTCCGAATTTTGCTCAAAAAAATATTCTGTTATTGCCCCACGAGCAGCTTTCTATCGTGATGTCGTTTCCGTTTGGTATATATCCAATCAGCCCGGCGGCTATCGGAAGTAGGCTTTGAGGTTGCTGCAGCATTGGGCCTGCATTAAATTGAGGGCCAGCTTCCCCCAATATCATGAAGCGTAGATTGCTATTTCTGAACGGTCGAATTTGGTTGAGATGGTCTACTTCCTTTCTGCCCACTTCAACGGCAAAGATAAAAATATGCGGCAGTACTTTCGCCGATCAATCACTTCTCCCCTATCAACAACTCAAAATCACTTGACGATGATGTAAACTGACACGTTAATCAATGTCCTTTTTGGTACTCCATTGATTTGATTTTGTCACACTCCACATTTATAAAAAAATATAAATTATTATTTTATTATTTATAATTAAAAAAATATTTTTGTCATACATCTTCGAATTGAATTATCTGTTTTTTGAATAATAAATATTTTTAACTATTAAAAAGAATCATATCTTCTTGAGAGCATCATAAGTGGTAGAAAATCTCTTCTACACCCTCCATTCTATTATAAATTAATAAATTATTTTAAAAATAAGTCAATCGACACACATATTGGTTGAAACCTTGGAAGAAAATTATAAAAAATATTTTCAATATTATGAAACATGTTCAAATATTAATCATTGAATATCAAATATATTAATTTATTATAAAACTTATGTATCGAATCAATAATGATAACTCTAAACAAAATCATACCCCACATCTTAATGACATACGAAATAGAATTAGGTACAAATGCATACATCACACCCAATGATGTGTTGAATTTTGAATTTTAAATTTTAATGATAAAATTAATTGATGAAATTATGATCTAATCAGTGTTTGAGTGACGTAGGACTAACTTCGATCATGAAAAGGTAAATCAATTGAAATAGGAGAATCAGACAGTGGGCCAAAATGGATCATGTCAGAAGATTGGACGTCAGACCGAAGGATTGGTCGACGTGTCGGAAGATGGACTTCGTGCCATAAGTTTGGGCATCGAGCCAGAAGGAAAGGGCATTGCACCAAGAAGATCAAATATTGCGAGAGATCAACATGCTGATGGATTAGGCAATATACCGAAGGAGAGGACGATGCACCGAAGGATCGGACGAAATGTCGGATGAACCAATGACATACTAGACAATATAAAATTCATGCTTATAATCATATATATCTAGATCGAAGTAGTTTTAGTCTTAATTGAGTTAGTTTTGAGTATAACTATGCTAACTTAGTTAGGAGCCCATTGGGCCTAAATTAGGGCTGATTTGGGCTTAATGGAAGGCCCATTCATTGACCCACAATTGGGTTAGGTGGTAGAACCGCTTCTGAGTTGGAACGTATGAACTATATGATTTTGGAAGACCTAACGATAGTACCGCTAGTGTCAAGCGATGATATTGCCCAGACTAGCGATGTACCACCCAAACTGGGTGATGGTACTGCCAGTGCACAGAGTGGCAAGTGGTGATTGTTGAATCTCATATTTTGATGATGAAATCACTTGATATGTGTTTATATTTTAATCTGCATTTTGAGTGACGCAGGATGCTTCGATCAGGATGAGACAATTAAAGCAGGAAAAATCATGTTGTGCCGGAGGAACATGTCAGAAGATTGGACGTCGGGCCGGTGGATCGGTCAACATATCGGCAGAAGGCTTCGGGCTATGGACTTGGACATCGGGCAAAGTGTTGAATCTCGGATTTTGATGATGAAGTCAATTGTCATTTGTTGTCTAATCTATGTGTTGAGATAAGTGTGTAGGATTAACTACGATGAAAGTTAGACAAGCAGCAGGAGTTGCGCCGGAGTCAAGTTCATGATCAC